TACAGTGTTCCCAAACAGTCCTTTGCAAGTGTCTTGGTTTGTTTCGGAAGCCTTTTTTCTTTATTGTCATCACTGGCCTTGAATTTACTCCTCCTCTGGATCTCTCTTGAAAGGGTTATTCATCAAACCCCACCTTTTATCAAGAACAACTGTTGCGGGTCCCACCTTTCCCATGGTTTCTGCAAAGCCTGTTTCAGATCTTCACGTCAGAGAGAGATGCAGTAGGCATCCTTCATTGCCTTTTCTCCAGTTCTGTGCTTTAGAATGGTTTGGGTTGGAAGGGGCCTTAAAGATCATCTAGTTCCAAAATGAAGTTTTTTGTTCCCAGATCTTCCTTTACTTGAAGTTCTGAACTGACGTGAGCCTGGCTTTATGCTGAGTCTCTTATAAAGCTTCCAGCGTACCCTTGCAGTATTTACAGAGGAGTATTGTGTTATCGTGAGAGTACAGTGCTGAGCCAGCAAGAGGGAGGCAGCTCTGGGTAGACCCAGGTGATTTAATGATTAGTATGAATTGTTGAGTTCAGAACTATTAAAAGTGAGTTAGATAAAAGAGAAGGTGCTTTATTTTCTATTTATCAATGTGTTGTATAACGTGAAGTTATTGTCCATTCAGCTGAGACACAGTAACTCCTGGTGTGTGCTCCACTGCACTCTTACTTTGAAAAATAGGGTCGTTCAGTTTTGAAACATAACTATTTCGTACTTTGAAACATAACTATTTCGTACGAGATGAGTACGATGTGCATGGTGGGCAGCTGGGTCTCCCCTGAGTTGTATGAGATGAGTACGATGTGCACGGTGGGCAGCTGGGTCTCCCCTGAGTGAGTAGTAATTTAATAAAACATGATTGCAGGACTGTGAATGATCATTTGACCACGTCTTCAGTGCTCTTCAGAGAAAGTCTTCCAAGCATTGTGTTTTACAGGTTAAAAATCTAATGGGTGTTTTATTTCTTACATGAGACACTTAGGATGACTGGGTCTCAAGTTGTCACATCTGAACAGCTCATTCAGCCTCGGGTAGTATTATGTAGTGTTAATAACGTTGATGTACATTTCAATCTTTATTTTACAGTGACCTCTTAAAAGAGTATGAGTTGGGAAGGACTCCTAATCCTGATATTGTGTGTAACAAGCACATAAAATTCAACTGCTTTCTTCATTATGCTATGGATAACCTTGGTAAGGCATTTTCAAGTGTGTCAGTGCAGAGTGTGTGCCGTTGGAAATGCTTAAAGGATACAAACTCTTGAAAAGGTGGGGAAAAACACGAGTCCATGTGCATGCCTAATTCACATATCTCTGTGCCAGTATTTCAGTATTTGCAAAGTATTTGGTTTTAAGTTGATTTTACATATGGCATCATGGAATGTTCTGGTTGGAAAGGGCCTTTAGAGGTCACTAGCACCACTCCCCTCTGTGGGCAGGGACATCTTCAGCTAGATTAGGTTGTTCATATGTGGGAACTGGTTTAATTCAGGGACATACATTGCCTTGACCATGAAGTTTTACTTTCTTAGGTGGTCCTTAAAGTACAAAAACACAAGTGCTGGCATGCTGATGAATAGTTTACATTATTTAAATGGCAGAAATACGATTATTGTCAGTACAAAACTATAGGTTTCTTCCTTCACTGCTTTCTGCTTTTTCTTACTGGATGTTTATAATCCCGTTTCAGACTGTGAATTTCAAGTATGTGCCTTCGTGTTTGTTTTTTTTTTTCCTTGACAGGAGCAGATGCAATTGCTACTGGGCATTATGCTAGGACCTCACTGGATGATGAGGAAGTGTTTCAACAGAAACATGTTAAAACTCCACAAAGGCTTTTCAGAAACCGTTTTGAAGTTAGAAATAGTAAGTAGTTTCTTTATTTCATATTTTCATCCTAGATATGAAAGAGAAATTTAAACTATATTTGGTGTCGTAGGAACTTTATTACCTTACATGCAGTGGTTACCATTTAAACCATGGGTTTTGTAGAAGGTTCATTGCACAAAACAGGAGATTTATATTACTGAAAATTACCCTGACTAGTCAAGTATTACATTTTCTAAGTTCTAATCCAGGTGGAGAGGCAAGAATAAGCATTTCAGTAGTAATGAACATTGTGGAGGAACTGTAATGTGGATTAAGGAGACAGGGCTATCTTCTGTACCCTGGAGAAGTATTGCAAGAAATCTTTATCAAGTATTTCCATGACTTTCATAACATTTTCTGGTTTTAATGTTTCTTTTATTTTAGGGAATGTATTCTTTGGTTATTCAGTTTGTAATAGAGATAGAATTCATCATAGAATGGTTTGGGTTGGAAGGGACCTTAAAGACCATCTAGTTCCAACCCCCTGCCATGGGCAGGGACACCTTCCACTAGACCAGGTTGCTCAAAGCCTCATCCAGCCTGGCCTTGAACACTTCCAGGGATGGGGCATCCACAGCTTCTCTGGGCAACCTGTTCCAGTACTTCACCACCTTCTCCATGAAGAACTTCTTCCTGATATCTAATCTAAATCTCCCCGCTTTCAATTTAAACCTGTTACCCCTTGTCCTGTCACTACAGGCCTGTAGGCAGGCAAAAAGTCCCCTCCCAGCTTCCTTGTATCCCCCTTCAGGTACTGGAATGTGCTATAAGGTCTCCCTGAAGCCTTCTCTTCTCCAGGCTGAACAAACCCAACTCTCTCAGCCTGTCCCCATAGCAGAGGTGCTCCAGCCCTCTTAAGCATATCATGGGGATATGCTTAAGTGAAACTTTAGAACTAAGGCTTTAAACATTAAAATTAATAACCTGCTTTTATGCAGTCATTGGACTGTATATTATTTTACTGGAACAAATCAGGTTCTCATTCAGTAATTCAACTTTTCTGCTGTATTGCTCTGTTCTCCTGTGGAAGCCTGGTTTTCCCAAGTAGATCAATGTCTGCCCACACTGCAGTTGCAAAGTGCAGGTGTGGCATGTGCAGGCATTACGGCTATGATTCCCAGGTCAGCCGTGGTACTAGTAGCAGCAGTGCAGGTTTTCATCTTCACTTTAGTAGTCTGCCTGCGGCTGTACATAATCAGAGGTTGATACCAGTTTTCTTGTTACCAGCTCCAAAGCCAGCTTGATGAGCATGGTGTTGGGTGTGGCTCTGCATGGCACTATCACAGCTTTGTATGGCCATGCAGAGGTTTCCCAAATCGCTCTGCCATAATGCAGTAAAGTAACTCCGATGAAGCTCCGATGTATAATGAGAACGTTACATCCACAGGGAAAGAAACTTCCAAAGCTGCGATGGTGATGTGTTTGTGTTGCAGCTTCCCTACTTTCATTCCTTCTGGTCCTAAAGGGGTTTATTTGTTTCTTTGTTTTAATTTATTTCTGGACAGTTGAAATGGCCCCAGCGGGACCAACGGTCTGTACTTGTGACAGACTGTGGTTCACGGGTGTAGTATTTTGTGATGTACCAAACAGGCTTCCTGCCCTGTTACGGAGGTTTTGTGTTACTGTTGTGACTGAACTACTGGCCTGTAGTTGATGTTCGTTTGAGTCAAGAAACACATAAGTAGAATTTGTGCAACAGCTGAGCTATGAGCTCTTAAAGAGAATGGACAGAACATGATGGAGAAACTATGCCAATTTTATTTCATCTGGGCAATCAGGTGACTTCATCTAATTTAAAGAAAACAGTCAAACTTTCTGAGCATTGGGAATAACTCTGATAATTCAGATAATTGATTTATAGCAGTGTGATTTCAAGGCAAAGCTGAATGGCTTTTTGAAGAATGGTATACTTCGCGATATTTGAATCTTCATTCTCTCTTTCACATGAAACATGAAAGTTGGTTTCATTTTTCATACTGATGATGTTATTGCCAATGACAGATGCTATATTGTAATAGGTGAGGCATCCTAGGACTTTAAGATTCTGAGTTGAACAAAACCAGAACCTTTCTAGATCTTTTTAGTGGTGAGAAAATAACCAAACATTTTCAGTGAGATTCTGAAAAACCTGACAAATACTGCCCTTATTTTAAGGCCTTATTTTATTATTATTGTTATTAAAATAATAAAACTAAAATGTTGATTGTTAAACAAAATACTAAAGTAAGTTGAACGATTAAAGGTGGTTACGTTCAGATGCTTTATGTGTTCTGCACTTTGCAGCTGTGAAACTCCTTCAAGGGGCTGACCTGTTTAAGGACCAGACCTTCTTCCTAAGTCAGGTCTCGCAGGATGCCTTGAGGAAAACCATTTTCCCTTTAGGGGATTTAACAAAAAGTTTTGTAAAGAAGATAGCAGCGGAACACGGCCTTCATCATGTGCTAAAGAAAAAAGAGGCATGGTAACACTTAAACTCTTTTGATTTGTATTTCTCTCTAAAATAGACTTCCCTGAACTGTTTGAAATCTGTGGCAACTCGTCTCTTTCTGAGCACTGTAAGAGAATAGGTTGGGAAGCAGTTTTTAAGCTGTCTGCTTGCTTAAAAGCACTTCCATGGGCTTGTGGTTAGGTGTGTGTTTTAGCTTAGAGATAATTTGTCTAACATTGGAGACCAGGTGAAGGGGAATGTGTTTGGATGCTGTGAGCCTTGAGGGAAAGCATTCTCTGTCACAGCAAGTGAAAAGCCTTTGCTTTTTATTTTCAATAGCTTTTAAAGGCTTCCTCACTATAAATGTTTTTCAGTATGTCTTTATAGAAATTGGATCATACTGGTTTTCCACTGTTACTCTTTAAAAAAAAAAATAATTCTTTTTCTCTGAGAACTAACACTTTGTGAGTTAATCCTAAAATAAAGTAATGCAGGCAGCAATTGTATTGCTGATGGTGCCTTGATTGCTTTTAATGTTTATATTTGTCCACTCTAAATGGGTCTTTGAAGCATGTAGGCAGTGCTGAAAGGAAAAGGGAAGCTTGTTTGGTTTTGAAAGTGTTTTTCAAGAGAGATATTGTATAATTTGTGTTACTTTTGTACTTTAATCTGAAAAAAACTCCTGGTTTTAATATACATACAGTATAGCCACCGAGGTTAACATATTTATTTATTGAACATGTCTTCTACTATAGAATTCGTGTTACTTTTATACTTTAATCTGAAAAAAGTCCTGGTTTTAATATACATACAATATAGCCACCGAGGTTATTTATTTATTGAACATGTCTTCTAGTTCCTATAATTTCCTTTTTTTTTTCATGTGCTTATGGCTCTCACTGATACTGTATGGAATTAGTTTACCTATGTTGGAGCAGATGATGTGGCTTTGTTTATTTTATGAGATGCCTAGCATGATTTGGGGTACACGGGGGGAAAATCCATCTTGGGCAGATTATTAATAGACATTATTTCAAAAGTCTTTCTCTGCTTTTATTGATTCAGTACCACGTTTCCTTTTCAGAGCATGGGGGTCTGTTTCATTGGTGAAAGAAACTTTGAAAAATTCCTCCTTGAGGTGAGCAACACTAAATCTATGACAACCTCTGTGTTCTGTTCTGGTTTTCGGTAGTAATTTATAACAATCTACAGGTAAATCTCCAGCACCTTGTGGCCCACATGAAGTAGCAATGTCCCCTCTCCCTTTGCAGTCCCAAGCCAACGCCAACAGCCCGTAGAAGTGTCTCGCCCCTCCGCCAGCCCACAGTCAGCCCCTCTCTGTAGCGAAAGGAGTGCGTGAGCTTGCCCTCCGGTGCCTGCCAGGCTCTGGCAAGTGGCTGGGATGCGAGGGGGGCAGAAGGTTGGATCCTGCGGTCCCCTGACCTAAGTGAGGATGGGGAGGGTGAAACCCAGCATTACTGCTGATAGGAGCTGCCCTTCCTACCTTTCTCTCTAGAGCAGCAGCATCAGGGAAGAGGCAGTATGCTGCCTGGGCAGAGCTCGCTTCTTGAAAAGTTGTTTTCCAACTTCAGGAGGATGTGGTGACAGAGCCTGAAGTGTGCTGGGAGGGTGTTTTGGGCCATTTTGTGACTTAAACATTCTCTTCCTATTTGGTAGTATTTAGAACCTCAACCAGGTAACTTTGTTTCCATTGAAGATAAGAAGGTGATGGGAACACACAAAGGTAATTGGCTAACCCACCTTAATAATTGCTTTTAGAGAACTGGAACGATACTGCTTATATTTGGAGGGACAAATTTTGTGAAATTCCAAACCAGTCTACAGGTTTTTCCCAGTCTGATAATAGTGGAATACATGCTTTACACAATATTAGAGCCTTGAGCTACAACTGATTCTTGATTATTTGTTCCATGTGGCAAGACAGTACATGTTAATTATTGGGGTTACTCTGTCGATACGAAGTGGTTGTTAATTCCATACCAAGAGACTGTTGCTCACTTAATCCTTTCAGAGCTACTGCTCTTCAGTTCCAGATCCTTTAGTACCTAAACTTTGCAGAAAACATACACCGTGCACCTCAGTGACGCACAGTAGGACGTCACCAAACACGGGCAGCTTACCTTTTCCTTCCGTGTATCCTTCCTTTGCTCTCCTCTGTTCTAGCTGCCAGAACTGAGTTCCTCTCCCAAGTAATTTATAGAAGTAGGATGTTCTACTAGTACATGAAAGTAAGGGAAACCAGTAAGTAGCAAAAACCAGTGGTAGCAAAACCACAAATTGCAGCTGAAAGAAATAAATGTTTGTCTTTTATAAATCCTAAGAATACCACACTTGAAATGGATTAGTTTGAAGTTGTGCTTCAGGTACAGAGGAAAACTTCCAAGTAGATGTTAGTTTAGTTTGCGACTGGCAGACTTTTCTAAGACAACTTGGGTTGTTATTCTTTCTTTAGTGGTAAAGTTTTGGGGAAATGATTCTTAGGTCGTTTTCTAGGTAAAAGGTTAGAAGTTGCTGATAGCATCATGTTTGTGTATTGCTTTAGGTTGGTTCCTCTACACAATAGGCCAGAGGGCTAGAATAGCAGGCCTGAAGGATGCTTGGTTCGTCGTAGACAAAGATGTCAGCACTGCAGATGTCTTTGTGGTGAGTTAATTCACACTGGTGTTGCAAATGATGAATGCAAGCGCTTGGTGAGTCCTGCTGCATGGAATGTGATCCTAACCTGGGCAGAATTCTTGGCTTTCCCCTTGAGGCAGACAAGAACCTACTGGTGCAGCATCAGCAGATTTGAAACGTCTTGTCCAAACTGGCTTTTCCTGAGTAGAAAATAGGGTTAGATTTTGGCACAGAACTTTTCCAAACAAAGGGCAACTACTGAAAAGAATCCGCCAGTCTACTGAGCTCTCATTTTCTACTCTAAAACATGAGGGGGTTTTATTGTAGTCACTATGGCACAGTATATAAAATGTGTATTATCTTGATTTACTATGTATTGTACTTTTTCTAGTAAAAGTAGTAGTAGCCAGTAATACAGTTTTATCATTTTGAAAACTTAGGCAGTGTATATATATGACTGCAAATAATTGGTGTGTTAATCAGTAATTATCTGAGACAACTGGGAGTTCTGCAGCTTGCCAGCGTTGTTCATGTTTCCTGCCATTCATGCTGTCGTTATTCTTGTTTGATACTGATGTGATTATAATTAGGTGTTCTGCTACCTGTTGATGTGCCTGGGAGGAAAAGGTCATAATGGAATGACAGTTGAGAGAAAAGAGGCAGGACCACTAATTTTTTTAGGCCCTCAAGCAGGGCTGTGTGTGTGCCACACTGCTGGTGGGGAGGCGTTGGGTTGAGCAATTGGAGGAGAGGGAGGCAGCATCTTGTTTAGGTAGGATAAGGAGGGCAGCAGGTATCTGAACTCAGCCTGAAGAAGGCAGGAATATGATGAGAGGAAAAAGAACGCCAAAAGAGACACGAGTGAGATGTAGGAGACTGACAAATAATTCAGGCTCGGTTTAGCCTGTTTTCTTCATTAAAGACTTCAACCTGGAAGCTGATTAAGTGCTAATAAATGCTTGCTTTCTTACTCACTTTGCCTTCATTTTGCTTGATGCATCTTCTGTATTTCATGCTTTGCAAGTTAATGTGCTCTCTGGCAAAAACATCAGCGTTAAATAAACGTTGTGTTTTAAGGCACCATCAAGAGATCACCCTGCACTGTACAGAGACCTACTGCGGACAAACCGAGTGCACTGGATAGCAGAGGAGCCTCCTGCAGAGCTCGTTAGGGACAAAATGATGGAGTGTCATTTCAGGTTTCAGCACCAGATGGCACTGGGTAATCAAACCTTGGTTTCTTTTATGTCTTAGTCCGTTTGTGAACCTGTGGTAGTGTGGTCAGTGTACTTTTGCAGAAGTAGTTGAAATGTTTTGGCTTGCCTTACTGTTTCTGTAGTGTCTTCAGGAAGCAGTTCTGTGTGGTAGTACCTTGACTTGCCTCTGTTTAACCTCGTGATGAAGGTTTTTCTTTGGCTGTGAACATAAGGATTAACTGGCAGGTGTTTCTGCCCTAGTGCCCTGCGTGCTGACTTTAAACCAAGATGGGAGTGTGTGGGTGGCGCTAGTGAAGCCATCAAGAGCCATCACACCTGGGCAGGTAAGGTGTTTGAGGTGATTTTTTTTTTTTTTGTGTTTTGGCTTATCTGGCCAATAAGAGTAGTGTTTTTTAATTAGCTGGAGCAGTTTATTTGCATGTGAGAGCAGTTAGCTCTACTTTGTCATCAGCTATTTTGAAGAAGATTGGTTTTGGTGTTAATGGTCTGTTGTTATCCATGTAGTCTGAGAAACTCCCAAATTTTAGAAATACATGAAAACATCTCAGACCAGTTATTCCCATCTTCTTCATGCCCTTTCCCAGCATATGTTCTACCCTCCCTTTCCCTTCCCAAAGCTTGGGGGCCCACGGGACACATCAGGAGGGAAATTCTCTGAAAACTACTTGTAATGGCAAGAGGGATGCACTGTAGGGAAGTGTGCTGAGCTGAGAAGGGCGGATGACAGGCATGAGAAGCCCCTGACTGCCAGGAACTGCTGAGCCTGTAACCGGGCTCTTCACTGCCGGGTAGTGGGACAAGGCCAGGAGGTCCATGCTCCTCCTCTCCTGCAAGAACCTGCTGAGCACGGCAGGGAGCCCCAGCCGCTGCCTTCCAGATGGTCCGCTCCAGTGGTCCGTGGTCCCCTTCCTATTTTGAGAAGTGCCACTGTAGCCTGGGCACTGTTGTCTGGGAAGGTCCAGTGAGGATGCGGATGTCCCGTTGTGCCCTTTGGGACAGGAAGCTTCCCTGCGCATTCCGAACCGCCTCAGTAACTGGAGAGTTTCGAGTTCATCTTGGGGAAGTTCACGATGGAATTTCCACCAACATGTTCATATTTACAGTCACGTCAGCTAACAAATCTTTTGTGGTTTTGTTACTCTTTTTTAATATCCAGTCAGAACAAATACCGGCGAATACGCTCACTGTGCAGCCGGTCTTGCACAGCCTGCGGCTGCTCGCCGTGCCGTTTGCCACTGCTGAAGAGGCTCTCCCTGTCTTTATCTCCTAGTTTGCCGTGTTCTACAAGGGTGACGAGTGCTTGGGCAGTGGGAAGATCCTGAGGATGGGCCCGTCGGTGTATGTCATGCAACAGGGCAAAAACCGAGAGGAGGGTCCAAAGAAGGAAGAGGTTGACAAGATAGAACCAGCAACGTAACACATGGGTTGGTTTGTTGAAGGACTTTGGAGAATTTGCTGCCTGAGAATAATAAAAACAATAATAAACATAATTTTTTGTTGGTCTGTGGGTTGTAAAGGTCAGTTGAGCATTGAGTCCCAGCTCCTGACTGTTAGCACTGAATAGGTTTAAAACTGAAGCCAATTTGGTACAATTTTACTGGACTGGATGGTGATATTTAATGTTAATGCATATCAAGGGATGTCTTAAAGTTGTACTGTAATAGTAGTTACACATACAAGAATTTTAATATAAAAATCATGTCTGAAACCATAAATCTATCATTTATGTGTAAGTGAAATATTTGTTTTGCCTTCCTTGAAGATACCTGTCCCGAGGTAAAGTACAGCTGTTGTTTTACAGTCAGCTACAGTAAATGTATGTTTGTGCTTTGAGGTCTGGGCAAGGAATCAGTGATATTTAAGTTCAGCATTTTGAATGAACTTCAAGCAACAGATAGTTATTTTTCATCTTATATAGTTTGATAAGAAATGCTTTGGATTATTAAGCTGTATTAAGTAGTGGTTTCAGGTGTTTACATAACTAAGAATTACAAATCTAGGGCCTTAAAAACAGTCCTGATTGTTAAATTTTTTGCCACAGCTGACTAATTTTTTGTGAACTGCTGAGGGCAGAGGCTGTTTGGTTTGTCTCCTGGAGAAGAGAAGGCATGGCTGTGCTTCAGAAAAATGCAAATTCCTATGCGTGTCCTTATTACATGGCTAACCCAATGTAGATCTGCTAAGAATGCCTCAAAATGGGTATTAAGAAGAGCTGAATGCCCCTGTCTCAATTATCTACATTTGTAAGGACTGGGTGCATACGGAGGACACCCTGAGCTTCATTACGGCAAGTCAGCAAGAATGAGTTCCTGTCTTTCAGCAACACGGTCGTAGAAGGTAGATGTCCCTGAAGTACAGCTCTGCAGGAGCAGGACTTTCTGGGTGTAGAATTTGGAGATTTGCATCCATTTGAGCAGTAGGAAAGCCTTACCATGAATAGGTCTTTTCAGCAGATCTGGAGGCTTGGATTACATGTGCATCCCTTTCTCTTCTCATAGTGTCTTCTAAGTATTTCTTCTGTTTCTTCTGGTAAGAAAGGTAAAAGGTAGTCTTTTTTATGTACCCCGTAAAGTGTGCACGTAGAAGGGAGAGAGACACTCTTCAGTGGCTGCCTGCTGGTCTGGCAAAGTTAAACACCGTTCAGGGAGCCCTGCGGAAGAACCACACACTTACAAATCTTAGGTGTTTATTTGACATTACAGCGGATCTGCGTGGGAGGGGGGAAAAGCCATCCTTTTTCACTGGTGCCAAAATCAGTTCGGTGCAAAAGTCTGTCTTCAGAGCGTGTATCCACACGCAGGTTCACTGTGAAGACTCTTCCCTCTCCACGTCAACTCCTTGTTTGCGTGAGGTTGGTTGTGTTATGGGTCCTGGTCATGGCTTCTGTTGTGGTTTTCCTTAACTTCCTTGAAACTTCTGTCTTTGCAAAATGTGGAATTAATTACTAAGGAGTTAATGCTCTACATTACCCTCATCGAGTTTTTCAGTAAATGTCCCAGTTAAAATCCTGGTAAGTGTTCTGTGGTGTACTAGCGTGGGGTTTATTGTGACTTGATCTCACCACACTCGCAGGTATGTTTGGAGTTTGGTACTGGTAGAGGTTCAACTGTGAGGACATGAAGAAGGATGTAGCCATTTCCGTGTCCTCAAAATTCACTTCCTTGTAAAATTCACGGTGTGGCAGAGGTTGGCAAGCCCCTGAGGAGATAATCTTGTCCGACTCCACTGCTCAAAGCAGGGGACACTGGAGCGGGTTGCTTGTCAGGTTTTGATTGTCTCCAAGGATGGAGACTCCACAACCCACACTGGTAAGATCCCCCTCAGCCTTCTCTTCTCGAGGCTGAACAGCCCCAGCTATCTCAGCTGCTCCTTGTATGATGGATGCCCCAAACCCCCTCATCAGCTCCACCCTACCCGTGTCAGGAAATTACCAGCCCTCCAGAGCCCTCCTGGACTGCCTGTGCCTTCCAGTGTTGTCCCTCCTGCACGTATCCGGGTGGTGTAAGTCCTCCATGAGGACCAGGGCCTGCAAACACGAGGCTTCTTCCAGCTGTCTTCCTGATCACACAGCCTGGAGCAGGCACCTACGGCAGTGTCACCTGTGTGGGTTGTCCCTCTGATCCTCACCCACGTGCTCCCAGCTGTCTCCTTGTCTCCCCCCAGCCAGAGCTCCAAGCTGTCCTGCTGCTCCCTCACAGCCAGGATGACTTCCCAGCCCATCCTCCTTGAGGATCCTGTACCCAGCCATGGTGGCACTGGCCGTGTGACCTCTCCCACCATGTCTTGGTCCCAGTGCTATCGGCCCATGCACTGCACGCAGACCTCCACCTCCCCTTGTGATTTCCCCATGCTGCATAGGTGGTCTACGGGCACTTCAGAGGGGCATCTAGAGAGGCCTCTTCTGCCTGTTTCGTTGTTTTCAAGGTCTCTCCTGCCCGGATCACCTTGCTGCCTTGGCTTGCCATCCCAGTCCACCGCCGTGCTGGACCGAAGGGCCTGGTGAGCAGCAAACCTCCCCAGGCACCAAGTGGGTCAGCAGCCGGAGCTCCTGTAGCAGGGAGGGTCACCCTGCCTGTCCCTCCTTGGGTGCAGTGTCACGTTTGGGCTCTCAAGGCTGCAGGGCTTCAGGGAGGGTACAATTATCTCTCCCTCGTCACCTCTGACGTGGCCCAGGCTGCTGGTGGATCAGACCCGTCACAGCCCACCTCCCGCAGGCCAGGAGCCACGGGGGCCTGCACCCTCCCTCAGCAGCCTGCCTGAGCTGAGGCCGCTTAACATTTCCTCATTCTCCAAAAACCAGTAACTCCTATTTTTTTTTTAAGTCCTCAAGTTGTTGAGTAGATGCTGTTGTGGTTGCCACCACCCAGAAGCGAAGCCAGACCTTCAGGGTTGGTCAGTGTCTGCAGGACCGGTGACACCCCCAGCTGGGAATCTCCGTTAGCTTCAAGGAGATTCATCGTCAGCTTGGGGACACGCTTGGGGCACCGAGCTCTGCTTGGGGCTCAGGGTGGAGAAACCAAGGTCCATACAACTGATTCCCACCGTCCTGCTTTTAAACCCATTGCTCTGAGGCAGTCTTTTGCACCCCCTCGGAAAAAGTTTTTCTAGGCTTGGTAATTTCTGAATAGGCTTTGCAAATGCTTGCAAAACAACAAAGAAAATCCTGCAGTAATTTTGATAAGTTTTCTGGGTTTTTGCAAGCAAATATTCACCCTGCCCTGTCTGCTTAGTAGCTCCCTGTGGTTTTCCGGGTGTGAAGGTTACCTCGGTGGGGAGCTGCTGGGAGGTGTGAGCTCTGCTTCACTGCCCGGGTAAGCGCTGCTGGCTGTGAGCGCTGTGAGAAACCCCGAACTCCGGGGGATGGCTCAGTCAGGGGAAGTGTTTCCCCACGGCCGGAATGCCCTTCCCTAACCTTTGAAGAGAAAAGGACTTTTTGCACCCTCAACTTTTTAGGGTTTTTTCCCCCTCTTTATCAGGTGAGCTTGCTTGTTATGGATCTCCTTTGGAGGATGGATTGTCCTGGTGCATTGGCCCTGGGAAGGCTTTGGAGCTGGATTGCTGGTACAGTGCCGGGCGCATCGCGAGCCCAGGGGACTCAGGGTGCTCGCTTGGCTCAGGCACAGTCGGTGCAGGAGCTTTAGCATCGCTGTGGTGAGTTCTCTGGCAACAAGAGCCCAGGTTTGCAGAGAGCCGCGGAGCCAGTGCCTCATAACAGGGAAGTGTAGTCACTGCTGCTGGCGGCGTAGCTGGCGTGGGGTACAGCGAGTGCGGGCTGCAGCTCCCGTAGGATGGGGGGGTTTAGCAAATGCTGCACTGCCCTCTTTTTCTTTAAGAATCCTTAAAATCGGATACAGCAGAAGACCTTTGACATGATAAGTGATCTCTGCTGTTGCTTACACTGAATCTCACTGCACCGCTGGGAGCTAGGAATTAGCAGGCATTTGTGAAATTCAAATTCCAAATATCTTCTCGCGTGGGATGCTTTACAACAGGTTGCACACTTCCAGCAACGTGAAGTTTGCGTGTTTAAAACAGCTTTTCCAAATAGTTTGTGCTGTTCAGAGGGGGTGGCAAGTTTCTCTTCCCATCCCATGTGTTTCTCCTGGGTAAGGGTCTTAACTACTGACCTCCTGCGTGAGACCCTTGCTCCTCTCACACGTAGGGTCTCTGGCACAGGGAGTTTTACTCTGTCCTGCGCAGGGAAGCGGCTTCTCGGGGGAGTCTGGCACAGCAGCCTATAAAGGCACATTTCTGCTACTGGCTCTGGCTGTTACATGCAAGGTGACCAGCAGCATCACCAGGACTGGTGTCACTGGAAAGTTGGTGTGTGCCAGCGGTGAGAACAGTGCCTGAATTCCATGCTCCAGCCTGCCCCGAGGCTTGCAGCCCAGCCCGGACCATGGTGAAACGGCCGTGGCAATGCAGAGGGGCACAGCTGCAGGAGCTTGGGCACAGGGAGGCGAGGGAGGAGAGAGCGGCGGTCAGTGCCTGGGGTCGCGCAGCCGTGCTCCCCACGCAGGACCATCGCTCACGCAGCCTTTGCCAAGGCTGGAATTTGGCCAAGGTTTGGCTTGGGCTGGGTAAGAGCAGTTTGACTGTCAGGTGAATTTTCTGGTCTTCTCTACTGCAGATTAGCATCAACATGCTCTTTAGAATTTGTTGGCTTTTCACTTTTTTGTCATTTTTTCTCCCACTTAGGGCAACAAATTGCAAGCAGATCAATTTGCTTTTAGGTTGACATTAAGCTTTTCAGGTTTTGAAATACTTGGTTTCAGACTCAAGTGAGTAACTTTTAAAAAAGGACTTTTCCCTTCCAAAGTAGAGAATATGGCAACAAAATACAGATCGTGTAACTGCAAAACCATGGCTTGTCTCAGCTAAAGGCTGGGAGTGAATTGAACTCTGTTCTACCCTGTGAATATGTTTGAAACCTGTCTTGCTGAGTGTATAATG